ATCTATCCATCCATCCATCCATCTATCCATCCATCCATCCATCCATCCATCCATCCATCCATCCATCCATCCAACCATCATCCATCCGTCCACTTGCCACCCTGCAGCCTGGGGACGGACATGCTCTGCATCCAGCTCCCCCACCCATCTGTCCGTCTGTCCCTCCCGGGGGAGTCCCCCTGTCCTGCACGGGCGCCGCTCGGGCTGGCAGCCTCTGCTGTGCCTGCCCGTCCACCTCCTTGGCCACCCACGTCCCCTCAGCGCCCCCGTGTCCCCCTGCCCCGCAGCGGCTGGGTTGGCCATGCCACATGTCCCGGCCAAGTGCTGACCCAGTGTCCCCCGCAGCCTGCGCCTGCTCGCCGGAGGGCTCGGTGTCGGCGACGTGCGACGCGGCCAGCGGGCAGTGCCGCTGCCAGCCCGGCGCCGTGGGCCGCCAGTGCGACCGCTGCCAGCCCGGCCACTGGGGCTTCCCGGCGTGCCGGCCCTGCCAGTGCAACGGGCACGCCGAGGAGTGCGAGCCGCGCACGGGCAGCTGCCTGCGCTGCCGCGACCACACGGACGGGCGCCACTGCGAGCGGTGAGCGGGACGGGCGGCGGGACGCGGCCCCGCGCCGGGGGGTCCCACGGGACGGGCGGTGGGACGCTCACCCCTGCTCCGCGCAGGTGCCAGGACGGCTACTACGGGGACCCGGTGCTGGGCTCGGGGCAGCAGTGCCGGCCCTGCCCCTGCCCCGGCTTCCCCGGCACGCGGCTCTACCACGGCAGCGCCTGCCACGCCGACCGCGACACCGGCCACATCGTGTGCCTCTGCGCGCCCGGATACGACGGTGAGGGGCGCCGCGCCGGGGCGCCTGCACTGGCCGTGCTCCGGGGGGTGCCGCGTGAGCCCAGCACCCATGGGTGCTGCTGCTGCCCGCAGGGCCGCGCTGCGACCGCTGCTCCCCCGGGTACTTCGGGGCGCCGGAGATGGAGGGGGGCGCGTGCCGGCCGTGCCAGTGCAACAACAACATCGACAGCAGCGACCCGGGCGCCTGCGACCCCCGCACGGGGCACTGCCTGCGCTGCCTGTACCACACGGCCGGCCCCCGCTGCGCCGAGTGCCAGCCCGGCTACTACGGCAATGCCCTGCAGCGCAGCTGCCGGCGTGAGCGGCCCCGATGCCCGAGCGCGCCGCGGCGGGGACCGGGGCCATGCAGGGGGTGGGGGACCATTGAGGGGGTGGGAGCTATCGGGGGGTCAGGGCTGTGCAGAGGGTTGGCGCTGTGCAGGGTTTGGGGTCACCTGTGGGTTCAGGATCATGCAGGGGGTTGGGGCTGGTGGGGTTCGGG